ATAAATCACGTAACCTCCCTATAATATCTTGTACAGAATATTCACAGGGAACGTAACTTGAATCTATCAAATCTATCATAGAAAAAAGAAAAAACTTGGCTATGACTCAAGAGGACCTAGAGAAAGAATTGCATACATACAAGAGCAGCTGAGTGTTGACCCCATTAAGTGTCACTTGAACTTGATGTAATCTTGTGATTGGCCCATCAATTGGTTCGTCTCCTGTTGGCGAACTTCATCTTGGGCTTTTCTTGGGCTCCACAATGTGGAGTGTCTAGTTCAATGAGAATGGTCATCACTCATCGGGCTGAAAAATTGTTGCATTTGGGCCTTCTAGGTTTTTTTCCTCAAAAACCCTGCAGAAGGCCCAAATATTTATTAACCAAATAGTAGTAATTTCTTTTTGGCACAGAGATAGTAATAATTACATATCCTTATTATAGAAACATTGCACATCATAATTAATTTTTTAAACAAATTATAAAATATTTATTATATTTTTAAATCGCATGTTTGTTTGTCATCTTTACTCACTTTATGTAACATCTCAAAATTTAACCCAAGATTAATTAAATTAATCAAGAGTAAATGAGTAATTTTGAAAGAATATTTAGATATAAATAATTTTAGTTAGGAGATTATTATTGGATTTAATTTAGCATAAATCCAAATTCTAAATTATGATTTTTAGAAAATAGAATTATTATCATTATCATTAAAAGAAAAAAAGGGATATGAATGAAATAAAAAAATTGGGAACGGACTTCATCCGTTTGTACATGTGTGTAGTGTGTAATATTATATAAAAAAAAGGGAAAAGGAGAAGGGATATAGACGTTGGGGTGTGTGTGTAGTGTGCAATATTATATTAAAAAAAAGAGAAAAAGGAGAAGGAATATAGACGTTGGTGTGTGTGTAGTGTGTAATATTATATAAAAAAAAGAGAGAAAGAAAAGGAGATGGGAGACGGAAGAGTGGTGTAAATTATTGTCGTGGGACTCACACCCATTTTAAAACACACAAGCCTTTTTCATTTCTCCTGATCTCTTCCTCATCTCTCCGTGCGCGCAATAGAGAAGTTCAAAAAAGAAAAGAAGAACAGAGCGAGAGCGTCGCCGGCGATAGGAACTGTTTAGAAGATAAAGCTTCATAATAGGATACTTCAGATGAGATTTTAAGTATTCTAAGACTAGGTAAGTGTTCTAAATATTTTCTTAGTCGTTTTTTTTTTCTGAGATTGCAGATTTTGAGATTTTAGAAAATCTAGGGTTTGAAAGAGGGATGAATTTTTGGTGAGAAAATCTGATTGTTGAGGTTGCTGGTAGTATAATAAATATTTTAGAGTATTATTTTGTTGATAGAATTAAAATTTGAGGCATTTGAGTTTATCCATAAATCCCTATGAGTAGATTTTTGGTTAAATTTAAAAATATAAATTGATTTGTTGATATTTAGATGATTATTTGAGATGAGAAATGAATTATTATGGCTATAGAATAATGATTCTAGGCTTGAAATTAAGTTTACAATTTTTGGGTATTTTTATGTGCGAATTTTTGGAATAAAAAGGGAAATTTTGATATTAGATAATTATTTGAATTAAATTATTATGAAGGAGACTATTGAACCAAGTAGATAAGTTCAAATACATAAAATTAAATTTTAGAACTTAAGAGGCTAAAACTAAGGTCTTAAAAAAATGAAATAAAATAAAATAAATACTTAAGTATTAAAGTATGAGTAAAAATTGTGTTAATAATATTATTGACACATTGGGATATGATCAATTGTAGATTAATTTTCTTTTAACACCATTCAAGCTTTGGAAAGCTTTGGAAGTGTTATAACTTGAGGGGTAACCTTTGACCTCTCAAAGGTTGAGGTAACCAGGGGAAAATCTATTTTATACATTTGTATGTTAATTAATTAATTATGTTAGTGAAACAAAAGAATATATATATATATATATATCTAAATTTGAAATAGTTGTTTGTAATGCATGTGACTTTGTTGAGACTCTATGACTTGTGAGCAAGTTAATTATGACTTAGTGTGAGTAATGAGATTGATGGTTGATGATTATGTGTACACTCTTGGTTATAAGTTGTGGATTATGCACAGTGATAAATTGTATGAGCATGTTGAGTTTTATATGATGCTAATGTGGCTTTATGTGATAATATAAAAATTGATGCAAGAGGCATAATTGAAATATGATGATTCTTGATGTTCGTTGAGCAAGAAAATTGATGAGCATGTGGGATAATTGTGAATTATATATTTGAGTTTTTGAAATGCAATTTCTCATGAGCATAATCATATGGCGGGAGTTCGCCTTAGTAAAGGAGTTAGCGATTATGCAAAATCCATATGGTACTTGACTATTAACTAATAATCCTAGGGATTATAACCGCTACTTACCTTGTAAGGTACTGTAGCACTGTTCCTATTAAGGGACTTGACCCTACTGGCCTACCTACCTGGAGTTTTGGGCAGAGCTAGTTTTGGATATGACACCCCATAGTGTATGATTTGGGGGAAACCGTGTTCATAAGTGAGTAAGGTAACCCTGGCCCGGTAGCTCCTCATGATATGATTAAGGCTTTGGGTAGTCTTACCACATGGACGATCCCTTCTGGTTGTTGGCCCACGGATTTCATGTCAGAGGAAATAAGTAGGGATATAAGGAAGAGATTGATCATGCATATTATTACTATCATGCCATTTGAGTGACTGATGGCTATGTTGAGAATATGATTATAATTGTAGAAATGAGAACATGCAGTAATTATGTGAATAATATATATGTGGTTATTTGTGCAAATTTTATACTTGACTTTATTCTTAAAATTATTTACATGAGTTAAATGTTAATGTGATTAACATGTTATTAATGTGATTGTTTGAATGGTCAGCTTGATAAATTTATTGGCCACTTGCATTCATGATTAATTATCATGCATTTGTATAACTTAGATATATCTTGGTTACTGAGTGGTTGTACTCACCCCTCTCTTTTAACATATTACAGGAGCTAGCTCATCTCAGAAGAACAGAGAAAAGGAGCATTAGGCCAAGTGATAATAATCACTTCTGTAGGCCTTTCTCCTTTTATTTGATATGTGTATTTAGTTTATGATATTGCCAATTAGGATAATATATTCTTGATCCACTTGCATTATGGGTTTTGTGTTGGGGGAAATATATTTTGGGCCCTGGGAAATGTGGTTTGATACTTGTGCTATAATTACGAGCCAAAATATTTGTACAAGTAAAAATAGTTATTATTATGCTTTCATATAGGTTTAATTGAATGATATGAGTTTTTAAAATATTTTAAAGACTTAGGATCCTTTTATATTAAATAGTTTTAAAAAAAATACATATTAAGAATTCATTTGGGTTAATCTCATATTGGATAATCCATTTGGGTTAGTCCTTGATTAACCATGGTTAATATGATGATTAAATCCTAATTTAGAACGCCCTTTACACTTTATAATTTTAGTTAATTTTATTTTTTATTTGGAATCAATTTATATATATTTGTGTTATTTTTTATGCTTATTTAAAATAATTAGCAATCAACTGAAGTTGATATGAAACATAGGAGCACTCACCACTTAAACAAGTGTTTGGAAGTTTGTCTCAACCCTTGTGTATTTGCCTACAATATCCCAATCTCCTCAGAGAAGAAAATCTTTATTGTTTTTTTTTCCAATAGAAAATTTTACTGTTGACATAGTATATTCCTTGTACTTAAAAAAAATTAACATATATATAAATATATTAATTTTTGAGAATCAGAATATATTAATTTGGGGCTGTTTATTTAAAATTAAAAATAAGTAATTTTTAAATAGATTAGAGATTCTATAAAAAGATTTATCTGGTAGAGATTCATAAAATGTATACATTATTTCATGTTCGGTTACAGTAATAAAGAATAATTATTACTTAGTTATTTTTTTGGAAAAAAATATTATTAGCTAGTTATTTTTCAATTTTATAATATCTTATTTGATTTTCATTTTATAAAAATAATTTATTATTTAATTATTTTAAAATTGCATGATATTTTTACATATCACGCTTTGTTAAAAAAAAATTATCTAACACACCAGATCATTTTCAAAAACTACTCAAAATAGTTTTTTAAAATAGTTAGAAATTTACTTTTTTTTGGATTCTAATTATTTTTAAAAATTTTAAAGAAACATCATTAAAACTCACAAAATATATTTTTTTCTAAAAAATAAATGATTTTTTTCATAAAATAAGTTGAAACAAACATGCTGCTAGTCACGCTCCATTCAATTTCAGTCTAAACATTTAATCATGAATGAATATCTTAACCAATTTAACAACTCATCTAATTTAATACAATAATTCCACTTACGGTGGACATCCCAATCCCCTTGGTTCATCCAAGGATGAGCATGTTAAAAGATTTTTTTTTTCCAGTATATAAGCCAAATAATAATTGGTAGGTCAATGCGGTTTTCTTTTTTTCTTTTTTTTTTTTTTTGACAAAGGTAGGTCAATGAGCTTGAATACATCCAAAATGCAAAGTCAATGCTTTAGTCATAATTTTGATCCACTATATTATTAACATTGCCAAATACAAGCTTCAACACAGCATCATATTTTGAGATTTTCCAATCGGGAAAGGTTGGATGAGGATACAGAAACCAAAATAAAATCATTACAGTTCATTGTTCTATTGCATTGAGTCAGAGCAATTACAAAGACTATCACGTGATATGGGTTCATGGAAAGCATCACTAAATCAGAGGAAATGCCAGACTGATTATCTTTCCAAGCATTTGGCAAAACTTCTCAAGCTCACTGCAACAGCATCAAATTTCTAAATCACCAGTCGCAACAATAATAAAATCAATTAATCATCTCCCTAAATTAGTGCCATAAAAAGCAGTTAAGGCTTCAGTCCTGCAAAGTATTCTGGAATGGACGCGCAATCCAATAATCAACACAAGTGATAATCAAATTGCATGATAGCAGGTGAAAGCTGCAGATTCATTCAACTCACCAAGCACCAATACATGAACAAAGTGATGTTCAAAAGCTTCCATCCATCATCTGGCTTGCATACGTTTGAAATTTTTGAAATTACAATCTTAACAAGAATTTTTTTTCCCATACCACTTAATTTACAAAAGCATTATTAGACAGTAACTAATACCGAGAAAGGACAGGAAAAGAAACTTCATTCATCAAAGCGCCATCGGCTATAGTTTGTTCCATTATTCTGGTCACGACTGTTTGAAGAGTTGCCACCTCTTGTCTCGGCATATTGATTACTGTTAGAGCTAGAAGAACGGAATGGCCACAAAAATGAAAACGGATTTCTCCTTCCTTGGTTCTGCTGGCTTTGCTCTCTCTCCCTAAGGCTATCATTATTGGTGCTTTCTGCATTACTTCCTCCTGTGTTACGACTGGCATGACGACCAACTTGCCCATGAGGTGGCAACTCGACACGGCAAACAGGGCACGAGTTATGTTGAACCAACCAAGGAACAATACAATCTGAATGATAAATATGACTGCATGGCATTGCCCTAGCCTCAGAACCAAGTTCAAATTTGTCCTGACAAACTGGGCAGTGAGAATCAGAACGAAGATGGGCTGGTGTGATTGTTACGATAGGCATTGCATCAATTGAAGAACGTGAGGCCGGGGCTGGACCATGCCGGTCATTTGTGGTCAGCTGTTCAATAAGTTCTTCCAGTCCAGACCCCATAAAGTAATCACTAACGTCAACACGCCTAGGACCAGCTCTAGGGATGCCATTAGTCAAAGTAAATCCAGGAACATGACCATGAAGTATCACGAAAGGACCAGAACTAATAAAACCCCAACTCTGATCAGGACCCATGGCAGATATAGATCTCCCCCTAACATCAAAGTTTGGGTATCGTCCAGCCGTTCTCTGCCCCAGGAGACTATCAATTGAATCAAGAAATCTTCTTTCGGGGTATCCCCTCCCCATAACTGCATGAATAGCACCAATAATATCGGGTACTTCATGAAAATCTTCCAGATTTCCCGATCTTTGCATCTCATCAAGTTCTATCACAAAGCCTCCACCACAATAAGGGCAGGTGAAATCTCTTCCTTCAGGTATGATTGTCCGTCTGCACTCATAACACCAGTGCGTTGCTCCACTTGACATCCTCTCTCTTTCACCAGCTTCTAAATATTAAAATTTGCACTTAAATGTTACTCATCCAAAATTTGGCCTCAGAAATAATAGGTTCCCAATATAAATAAAACTAAAATTTATCAATAAACATCAATCAAAGAAAAGAAAGTGCTGCATTAGCAACATGCCAATTGGCTCTGGTGGTGACTTTTTCCAATCACGCTAGTAACCCAAAGTTGATATGCAAATATTTACAGGAGTAAAACAGTAACCATGAGACAAAGAGCGAGGTCAAGTCTAAAGCTTGTTAACCAACAAAAGGACAAAAGTGAAATTAAAGCTTTCTCCCAACCCAAACTTAAATCTCCCAACTAGGTCAGATAGCTTAGTAAAAATAACGTTCTGATCCTTAAAAACCTATTTTCCAAATAGTAGATTCCATAAAAATTGAAGAAATGCTTAAATTGATTGCATGCAAATGACAACATATCAATAAAAAATCCATGGCTAGCAGCAGTGTGATTCATTTCTTGGACTTCATGGAAATGTCTATAATTACTAGGTATACGAACTAGCTGCTAAATTTAAAATGGTAAAACAAAGAATGGAGCAAATGAATGCTATGCCATATACCTCTCCTACCACCTAATTCCAGCTGAGACTCTGAGAGTGAGCAAAATCACTTTGCACACCTGATCTACAGGTAAATGGTAACATATATCTCTGGTCATTAGACAAATTTGACATAAAGAGAACATAAAGGGCATCTCATTCTTCAAATATTACCGAACCAGTTACATAGGATGCTTGATATCTTATGTCTTCCCACAACAATCATAATTACTCTTTTTGTTTATTTCTTTTCAGTCCATGAGCACCATAAAGAGAAGCTCTAAGTACACTGATTATGGTAAATTAAATAATCCGTACATATTCTCCCAGAAAATTTAATGAAAATATATTTTCCCTTGATGGGAATAAAATTCTAAAAAGCAAATTATTAACCAAAAAAAAAAAAAATCAAATGGCTTCAAGCCTTCAATCACAGAAATAACAAATAACATGTATGTTCAGTCATCACCATGAGTGCAACAACAGTCAGAACAATTCTGTCCAACAATTAATACCGATAAAGTATCAAACAACCCTAACTGAAAAAATTAAGAGAAAAACCGAGTCAAATCCAAACATCATCATCGCCATAGTACAAAAATTTTAAATTAGGGATTCTAAAACCTAAAAACGTATCAATTAACCGAAACCCATTGACTCCAAGGACTAGATGAATTTCATATTTACACGGAATCTACAGAGGGGACAAAATCAAAACAGCAAAATGGAAAATAAATTCCGTAAAATAATGAAATTTTCAGAATTCATCGAATTAACTTACCAAGGGATTTGGGGAGGAAAATGAAAGACGAAAAATCTAAACACAGAATAAGATTCGAGGCATGGAGACGTGAAATCCCAAGCCCCGAAGGAAGAAAGGGAGAGAGAAAGCAGAAGAGTGTAGAAGAAGACCTGTTCGTCCCAATCAGCAAAGACAAGTCTAAATAAATTTGCGCGTTAGAATTATATATACTCTTTTCTTCGTAACCCCACCCCCCCAACCCCCAAATTACGCGCGTGTGTGGGACTACCTTAAAATATTCCTATGAATTTATTTATAAATTATTTTAAATATATTTTATTAAAATAAAAAAAATAAAATTTATTAATTTTATCTTAAAATTTAATAAATTTTAAAATTTTCAACTTTAATAATATATTTTTTTAATATTTAATGAAGGATAAAAAACTTTACTCCCTTCATTTAAAAATATAAAATATTTTTAATCGAATCTCACTTTTAATAAAGTAATTACTTATTTTTTAATTAATTCTATTTTTTTATATTTACTTCTATTAAATACCTTACCATAAATATAAAATCATTATTAATAAAAATATTTTTTAAAAAAAATTAATAATTATATTTTAAAAAATTAAAAATATTTTATATTTTTAAATATTTAATTTTTAAAAAATATTCACAGAAAGAGTATATAAAAAATTTAATAAGGTGAAAAATAATACCCTTTTTATTCTATAAGATGGTGTGTGAGAGAGAGAGAGAGAGAGAGAGAGAGAGAGAGAGAGAGAGAGAGAGAGAACAGGTAAATCAAACAAACGCGTAAAAGTAATAAATGTCAGTCGCAGAGCTGCTGCAGTGAAGTTGCCTCTCGAATCGTCCCAAGTTGGTTGCCACCTGCCAGACACCAATAATAATAATAATAATAATAATAATAAAGAATGTACCCTGAGGTTAATGAAATCGTAAATTGAGTAAAAGTCATTGGCCAAAAACTAAAAGGAAAAGGATAAAAAATACACTAAAAATATATAAATGAAAATTATAATTTAGTCCATCTTATTTAATATTTTAATGTTTGATGAAATGACATGTTTGCTTTTAGCGATTATTATATGTTGAGAAACAATTATTTTTATTAAGTTATTGATTAAAATAAAATAAAAATTGACTGCTTCATTTTTGTAAATGTGTCCATCAATCAAATACAACTAAAACAATAATTTGAATAATGAATTAACCAATTTTTTAATTTATTTATAAATCACAAATTTACATAGGACAATAAGTAAGCCTCTCCTAACTAAAATATTATATTATATATATATATATATATATAAAAGGGTTAAAATTTAAACTCTCAAACTAATTGTTTAATTAATAAAAATTTATATCACTCACGCCAATTTAAATTAATATTTAATGTAATTTTATTCCATTAAAAAATTCAAACCGTTAAAAAATTCAAACCCGGAAGTTACTCAAAAGATTTTTCTTTTTTTTCTTTTTGGGTTCCACCAAACTATCGTGAGGTCCATATTGTTTGCACCCTTATCATGAAACCAAACAACAGCTTTTGGGAAAATTCGAGTTCATGAGGCCCTACATTACAATTCATTTGCTTTCCTAGACCCTAACATAAGTGAGTCAAGGTCAACGAACCTATGATGCTCAAGTCAATGAAATATGGTAAATTCACAAATTTGAAATACAATATTAACAGACAATTTCCTCCACATGATCAACACAGATTCTTCTGGGAAAAAACCATTCTTAAAATGTTTGGTGATGACTATAACAGGCAATCGAATTTAAGTCTACATAGAATAATATATCATTCTAAGGCCAAATAACTAGTGATCATTTAATTCTATTGGGTTATATTGATCATGACGTGCCTAACAATTAATCCCAATGTTATTTTATAGAAAGAATTCTTATTCTAATAATGCCTAACACAAAAAAAAAAAAGATAAACATATTGATTGATCCAATTAGTAAACATTTAACTTAAAAGATTATGAGGTTAAATCTCATTATCTATATAACAATCTCCTTAGTTGATTATTTATAAATATCTTTTATAAGTGTTCTTTTATAACTCACCTAAATTTTTTTAATAAAAAATAATTTTCAATAAAATTTAATAGAATAAATTGCCTAGGTTTGAGACTTTTTTTTTTTAAATTTCTAAATAAAGGTGTTTTTTCATAGTAGAATTTTCAGGGACTGAACTTTTACAATTTTTTTCATTTATAGACCTGAGATAGAGAGCCTAGGACGACAAACTTCCCACGACTTCTATTTTATTTTATTTTTTGATTGAAACTAAGATTATACTACAATTCAATTTCGATACAAAAATTTGAAATCAATTCTTAAGGATTAAATAATAAATATATGTACATTTAGAAATTTTAATTTAATTTAGGAAAAATTATAATTGAAGAGTTGAATAGGCCAACGCTATATTAAGACTATTTAAATTAAATTTTGAAGAACTAAGATCAAAAATTAAAATTGTTCAAAAATTTATATTGCAAGATCTCAAATTAAAATCTTCTGTCATTAAATCCTTCAAAATTTGAGTTCATTTAATATATGATTTCATCTCTTTAATTGTTTTTATAACATCTTTAATAGTTTTTTCTATTACTAATTTCATCTCTTTAATTGTTTTTTTATAACATCTTTAATTGTAATTTTTTTTATTACTCACATGTATCCATCTATAAAATACAATCATGTTTAAGACGTGGTTAAATACTAAATATGAGCATATTTTTCAGTGAAAAATTTAAACTTTAGCTTGTTATAATGTAAAAAACTTTTTTTTTGGCAAAATCCATTATTATTTTTTATTATATTTATGATTTCATTCACACCGATAGATCATAGAGGACACGGGCATTGATTCCTCAGCAGAGAGCACATTTATGGGTCTAAAATTCTTTGACGTGTTAAAAATGCAAAAGTGGTTTGAATGAAATAAATGCCTGAAAATGATTTTTCTTCGCCAAGGAATGTTAGAGCCAAAGAGGCATGAAGCAATAGACGGATGCCCCTTTTATTTATTTTTATTTTTTTCTAAATTTGATGTGATGGGATTTTTTGGTGAAATATGTGATGGGCAATTGTTTTTATTTTTTGCATTGAAAAGTTCAGGCGAGCTAAATCCTAAAATCATCTCTAACAAAATTCTCATATCGATAATAAAATTTAATCACATAACTTTATAAATTATGAATTAAATTTTTATTAATTAGACTAATCTTTGTTGGTGTGATGGACAAATTGATGTTCGACGTTTTTTTATAGATCTCATTTGTCTGAATTGGGCCCAATAATCAGCCCAATAGACCAACCCAATCCTTCTCGATTGATACGCTTAGACCGTAAGTCCATAACAACACACTTCGGCAAAGTTATGAAACATGTTCGTACCCTATAAGTATGCATCCCAAGTTCCATACGAAGTTTTTAATTTAAATAATTTTAATTATATATTATATTTTTGTAAATATTGTATGTTAACTGTAATTCATTACACTTATAGGTCGTTCGGTTGAGCATTGGAAATTCAATTCTTCTAGAGTAAAGTTGAAGATTCAAATCTTGCAAATAAATTGGAAAAAAAAAAAATCTGCAAGTGTTTATAGCTTTCTTCAAGTTTAAATTAGGTTTCTATAATTTAATTTATTTTAATCAAACTCTTATAATTTAAACCATTAAACATATTAATCTTTAAATATTAAAATTAATAATGAATAATTAATTTTCTCCAAAACAAAAACTCTTTTGCAGTTTATAGAAAATTTGATTTAATATTTTTGGCCAAAAATAAAAAATAAATGTTAATTTAATACAATATTTACATTTTTATTAACTTTTTATGAAAATGTTATGTGTATCAATATATTTAGAAGACAGCCTAATTATATAAATTTTGAGTTATAAAAATTATATAATTAATTCTAAAACTATATAATCTTTTAATAAAAAATATAGTAAGTTTTTAACTTTATTTTTTAAAGAAAACTTTAAGGATTTTAACTTTTGAGATTAAAAAAATTTAATAAATCAAAATATAAGAGCTTGATTAAAAAAATAATTTATCAGAACCTAATTTAAAATTGAGAGAAACTATAAGGCTCAATAAATATATTTTTCCTAAAAAAAAACAATCATGTTAAAACAATTGCTTCTAATTAAACCAACCAAAACTCAAATTTACTTAGGTTGTATCCAATATTAAATAACTGTATCAGGAGTGAAAACTAACATCTCATCTATTCGAACTTAATTACAAAATCCCTCTCTACTTTAAACACCTCTATAAATGTCCCCTAAAATTATGAAGTCCCATTCTATGGATCTCCCCCATCTTCCCATATGCTTGACCATGGTTAAATCAAACTTTTACGTTTCAACTTTTTTGGACTAAACTACACTTTAGTTTTATATTAATATTATTTAATAATCTTTTAATTAAATCTGTTGGCCAAGGAAAAAACCACAGGCTGCTTCTGTTTCTTGACAAATTATTCTTTTCATATTCTCGTCTCTAAAGCCTGAAGGAAAATAATGAAGCTCATGGAATTTGAGCTTCAATAAAAGAGGGTTAGCTAACACTTACACCAAAATGAAATTCACAAGAAGCAACGTAAGACGACAATATTTCAAATTCAGCATGGCCCCAGCAAGAAGACCAACATTTATGAAACAGCAATTCTTTAAAAATAAAGTCCTATCATTTCTAATACATAGTCTATGTGAATTACAATATAAATAATTGTTAACTAATTCACATTTATTAAAAAAAATTGGTTAAAATTTTGATTTTCTAAAAATTTTTACATCTTTCCAATCATGCCCTTAGGCGTAATAAATAAAATATGTAATTTATTCAAAACACTCCCATTAATTGCCCAATAAAGTAAGGTTGTAGTTGGAAAAAATATGTATAACACCAACCCAATATCCTATATTTTGGACTAAACAAAACTTCTAGAAAATGAATTGTATTATGGTCAAAACATTACATGATTCATCATGTCTATTAGTATTTCATGTTATTCCTTATATCTATGCTTCTAAGACCAACACCAGGTATAAAACCTATTACATGAAATGGATTTATAGACCTGGAAAAATTATTGGGGAATGCCTAGAATAATACTGTTGAACGTATTCACACGCCAGGAGATAAGTGAAAAGCGACCATTGAACATTTTAAAACAATTAAGGAAATCAACACACTAAGGTCAGGGAAACCAGATGTGCACCTCTTTTGTGTATCTTTCATTCAAACACCTGAGGTTCGTGCCTTTCAAGAGGAAAACAGTCTAGAAAACAAGTAAACATGGCAGCCCTGCACAACATCTAGCAGAGGAGCTGTTTGACATGCTTCCTCTGCCGCACGATTCATCCATTTTTCCAATACATTTTCAGCTATAGGTGCAATCTGGTGCTGCAACATTGCTGCCCCAAGAGGTCCCACCAAATTCAGCCTTGTTGCAGCAGAAATGACATCTCTCATCGTGATGAACAAGTAAGCTCTCTGGGAAACAGTAATGTCAAATCCAAGTGCTCCACATATAAGTCCAAATATTGGAGCATGGTGAAAACATACAGACCCTAACCCAAGAGAAGTATCCCTCATGGTTTTAAGAGTAGTAGTCTCAGAGAACATGGCTGAAGCCACCCTCATCAGTGCAGATCCTTGCGAGATCGATGCCTTTCGACTGACTTCATTGGTTAAGGTAGCATCCAACATTCTGTCAAGCCTGTGCCAGGATTCCAAACTTGGCGACAAGGCGGCTGAGTACACATAGGGAAGAAGTAAGCTTCCTGTATTCTCCAGAATGTGGATAATAAAAGTCTTAAGTTCATTGGGATCAGACACCAGGTGGGATTGAACTGCTGCTTCAAGGCCAAGAGAATGAGCGAATCCACCAGTAGGGAGAAGTGAATCAAGCAACTGCCATTGACTCCACTGTAGAGAAGAGTCTTCTAGGCAAGGTCTATTACTCTCTTCATTTATTTGCATTTTAAATGGTAGTGCTCTGGGAGATGACTGAAAATTTTCAGATTAATGCCAGTGCCTGAAGGATAAACCATGCCTATATATTCACTTTTTAACAGAGCAACAAAGAGTTCTATATTTGTAACTGTAAGAAATATCTAATGGTGTTAAAGAATCACAAGATAACAGCTATCATAAATTATTCAGAGAAAAATTAAGGAAAACCATTATCTTTTCAGAAACCTATAAGAAAGCAATGCTCCAAATCTGTTTAAGAACAATGACTCTAAAGTAATCTTGACTGGAATAGATGTTTAAAAGTGAGTGCCTCCACAATCATGTAATACAAATACAAAAAAATAAGTGCTTCATGTCAGCGAACTTGTAATGAGATACTGAAGATCAAGAATGCCAAAAAATTATCTATTTAAAAAGAAAAAGAAAAATTAAAGCAAGCCACAGTCACAAACTCCTTGTCACACTTACTTCACCATTAGCAAGAAGGAACCTTCACTTCCCTCATAATCAGCTAGCCTGGAAGATTGTGTCTATTACTCTCTCTAATGAGAGACACAAGTGGAAACAACAAAACTTAAAAATCAAAAGTGCCAAGTCTTTATACTTGCTCTGTAAGTGGCAACCATAAACAAAAAGGGCAATAAGTAGCCACTTGGTGGGTGGTTAACTGGTTGGATCTTCCTAGATGTTGAAAATGTATCACTATTCCAGTGATGTTAGTTAATTAGACGAAAGCTATGGACACCAACAGCTGTAGCATGTCTGGGCCAAGCTTGCACATCAGAGTGTCTTGCACCATCTTAAATGAGTGCTACGAAAGCATAACAAATGTACATCTCATAACAGATTAAAGATTTATAGGTCGCAGACATTACAAATTAGAGACTTTGATCTTTTCTTATAAGAAACAAGTTTAGGTCACTTATATGGCAATCTTCTCAACTATATTATCTATTCAGGGCACTCAATACCAGCCCGCATAAAAATATCATATCGATCTCTGAAACAGTTTGAAACAATAAATTAGTGGAGTTTCACAATAATTTACTGCACTTAAACATTCTCTATAATATCGAACTAATTATTACCAAAATAATAAGAAAAAAAGTTGAACCTAAGAATTGTTTTCTTGGGATTGAATATCATCCTTTTTCATGAAATGGAAGCCCATAATATATCTATATTCTCCAGTCCCAAGGCAGCGAGAGCAGTAACCAAGGCCACTTCCACCACAAGTCCTACACCATTTTGGCCATTCACCTTTTGGGAGCATTTCTGAATCAACTTTGTTTGTCCTTCCTTTTCCATGACACTGGTGGCAATCAACCCTTCCACTCCCTTTACAGACTACACAAGGAGGATCTGGCTTCTTTCTTCTTCTCTTCCGAACATTTGACTCCGTCTTCACAACCCAAGATGGCTTTGTGAATGAGAGATGAGGCAATGAGTTGGGAGAGTGAGGCGGAGGTAGACCATTAAAGTTTGTGGCCTCAAATCGGACCAATGTTAATGAACTCATAGTTCTGAGTGCCATATATGCCAGCAATACTCCAGTATCTACTTCAACTTCACCAATGAAATCTGAAACAAATGAGTCACCTACTTACTATGGCCTTCCAACAAGCATTGCTTACATATTGATCAGCAAGAAATGAGCATAATTGTGGCTGTGGTTACTTTTCAGGTTTTGTACTTATATATAGGTCAAATCTTCCAATCAGTATGCTATTGAATACTTTTGGTGAATGCACTATCAGTGACTATGAAATAACAATGGGAGAGGGCACCTGTCAGAAGCCTCATCGGTGATTAAACATGCCAAATCTAGAAGTCTTGCTAAAAGCATGGCAAGCTTAAAAATAAGAAAGATTGTTCCCCCATGCCACCATTTTGGTTTACTTGCATAATTTAGCTGAAAATGAAAATAAAAGATAAGAAAAATTTCTTAGATGTTTTTCATAATTTCCTAATTAAGAACTTAATGTATGAAGAATTATTCTAAAAGAGACAACGATATGTTAATTAGTTGTCAAAATATCCACGTGCATTTTCATTAGAAACTTGATAGACGATTCTCAACTGTCAGGCCAACCAAAAAAAAAAAAAAACCCTGAAAACTGCACCTTCGCTTTACTAATTGTTTGGAATCACAAACATTAACTCGATTCTAAGTACAAACAAAAATCTTTCCTTGTAACTACACTGTTACCCTGGCCAACAACCATAAAACTTAGTTCACCGAAGAGAGCTAAGATTAACCATAGCCCCCACATTCATTCCATTTCACTTCAACTTTATCTGCCGCATAAATGAAGAGGAAAAAAACGACACTTTCGAACCACTTTGCAAGTGTTAGCATAAAGCGCACTAACTCGAAATTCATGATTACTTCGAGCAAAAAATCAATCAATCAATTCATTACTAATTAACGAATTAAGGCTACAAGGAAAAACCAGAAAGAGAGATAAAGAATTCCACAAAGGCATGATTCAGAGCACAAACATCCCAAAATACGCCAACAACAATTTCGAGTTAAAAGACTAAATCACCCAGCGAACGAATTAAAGATAGAAAGGTAAGAAAGATTCGGGGTTGAAAATGTTTACCAGAAATGAAAGTGAAGCTGAGGAAACGGAGAACATGTATCAATCTTCAGCTTTGTAAGTCGGCCAGAGAGATGGAAGTAAACATAGGAACCAACGGTGAGTTTACTTCCTGCTCAATGCTCTAGCTCCAACCCCTCCGGTTCGATGAGCTAGAGATGGAGAAAAATCGAATTCGATGGTTCTTTCTTCCTTTCTCTGTTTTTAGTTTTTTTTGTTTTGGGCCAAGATTGCAATAGCTTAGCTTCCTTTTTTTCTTTCTTTTTGGTGAACTGCAATGGCTTACCCCTTTTTTTTTTTTTTTTGGTTCAAACAATAGCTAAGCCTTATTAGTGGGTTATCACTACATCTACATGTTAGGCTTGCATGGGGGAAAAATTAAACAAGAAGATAAATTTAATTTTAGTTTAGAGCGGAAAATTCTAAAACCCAAAACTTTTATAAGGAATAAATAATTAATTTATCATATCAAAAAACAGAGTTATAGTTAGTTAGGATTTATGAATATATTACAAATGTAATTTTTTTCAAAAATACAATTCTTGTTTTTAATGGGTGTATAAAATGAATATTTTAATCCTCTTTCTTAAACAGACTAGTGTTGGTTTTTTTTTTTTTGGGACAAAAAGAGATTATATTCATTACTGCAAAAATTCACAAAAAAATTAAGAGCATGTTTGTTTTCTATTCTTAAAAATAATTTTTTTATTTTAATATTTTCAAAACAATAAAACTTGTTTGGTTAATGAGTTTTTAATTTTTGTTTTGAAAACAGTTTTTAAGTTTTTGTTTTTAAATACAAGAAAACCAAAACAACTTTTAGCTATTTCTATTCCTATTTTTTGTTTTTATCAAGTAAAAGCAGGAAACAAAAAATGTTGTTTTTGTTCCCACACTGTTAGGAGGATGGTTTTGGTGATCACTAATTCAAATAGTTTTGTCTTCCTCAACTTCGTGCTGCTCTGTTATTTGATTTCTTTGGATTCGATCTACCTATAATTAGGCTTATATTAAGACTTTTTTTTATTTATACAAAATGATTGGTTTATGATTTTTAATTGATTCTACTCTATTTTGTTTAACTATATCTCTATCTCATTTATTGTAATAATTGTAGATTCTTTTAATATTTGTTAGAATATCTCATTTTATTATAATATAAATTTGTCATTTCTCATTTTCTGAAAAATGTTTCCGTTTTTGTTAATGTTTTATTACACACACACATATATATAAAAGCAAACTTACGTATATAACTTTATACACTTAACATATTTTTATTTAATTAAATTAAATAAATAAATTTTCATGTGTTAATAATATTAAATAATTACATATCTATTTTGGTTTAATTAGAAAATTAAACAAATAATTTTACGTCTATAATTTTTTATGTTCTTATAAATATTGCTCATTTTGTAAATTATAGGGAAATTTTAAAAAATAAATTATACTTTATTGGCAGCAACATATAAACTAATTCTGCCAAGCAAAATAACATCCAAAATTTTTTTTACCAAACGAGTTTTATTATATTTTAGTTTTTAAAACTTATTTTTAATATTAATTTTGCCAAGCAAATTTCTTTGTTTTTTTAATTCTATCACTGTTTTTGAATTACTGTTACCAAACAAGTTTATTTTTTATTTGTTCTCAAAAACAGTTTTTAAAATTGTTTTATAAAATAACTTTTGAAAACAAAAAATGAAAACAATAACCAAACAAGCCCTAAAATATCCCCTGTTTACACCAATCAAAGTCCCTAGTAATCAAATCAGAGAGAGGGGATGGTGAGCAAAGAACCCAGCCAGAGGCAGACATCCCCTTACATCCAGATTTGGCAAGCCAATCTGCTGCCAAATTACAAGAATGAGGAATATAAGTTAGACTCAATGAGGGGCAAGAATTGAATAGGCATTTCAAATCATCCACCAACAAGTTCACTTTCCAGTTAGGACATAAGGCACGGCCTTTGACAGCTTCAACTAAAGGCAAGCAATCTGATTCAATGTCTATGGGTCCAAGGTTGCGGTTCCAACACTAGAAAACAACTGTATGAAGTGCCTTTGCTTCACAGAAGAATGCAGACGAGGCTTCACTAGGTTGGCATACCAAGTCGACCACCTTGCCAGTGTTGTCACGAAGAAGGTAACCCAGTCCAACTTTCCCTGTAGCAGACACAAAAGCACGATCAACATTTAATTTCAATTTGTTAGGTGAAGGAAGAACCCAATACAAGTCCTCAGGTTCACTAAGGTCAGCATCAGTAGAGGGTTTCGTCCAATTACGAGCCAACCAAAGTTCCTGAACACTTCTTACAGCAGAATCAATGACCTGTCTATAATCAGTCCTATTATGTTCAAAAATTTCACCACAATGAGCTTTCCACACATACCAACACAAGACACCAAGGCCTGAGAAAATTCATCGCCCTTAAGATCACCTAGAGTATTCAACAACCAAGACTAAGGTACTCCCATTCATCTCATGCACATGCAAGGAGAGAGGGGAAGCAAACCACAAGTGTTTGAACCCAATCACACAATAGCAAACAATGTTCAGCAGATTCGGCTAAGTCATCCCAGTGTACACAAAAAGGCAAAACATTACATTTTCTTTTCCACAGGGCACCTCTCATGGGGAGTGCCTTGGAACATGCACGCCAGAGAAAATGTTTCACCTTCTGTTGTACTTTCAACTTCCAAATGATGTTCCAGAGATCTGAGGATATAGGAGAGGAAGAACAAGGGGTATCCTTCTTCTTTATACGTAGAGTTTTTTGGTCTTTCAACCATCTAAAGCCCAATTTGACAAAATAGTGACCATTAGAGCTACCAGTCCATAGAAGTTTATCATTAATATGCAGTCTAGGTAACTCAACCTCAGAAACAGCCCTTAAAATGTGAAAAGGGAGATTAAGTCTTGACTGCAAATCCCACAGCCCATTAACAATCAAATTAGACACTTTAAGGCATTGCAAATCAGAGGGAATATTCATTGCTGGAAATTTAAATCTATCAACATTAGGCAGCCATGGATCATACCAGACACTAACCGAGTCCCCAGTGCCAATTCTCCAGTAAACTCTATCAGCAAACAAAGCCCTTCCAGCCAAAAGACTACTCCATGCTCAAGAAGCTCTTCCCCCTTTTACAGCATTAAGAAAAGAGCAACGAGGAAAGTATAAGCCCTTCAAAATTTTCACCCAGAAAGCATTAGGTTCTGTAAGAATTCTCCAGCATCGTTTGCCTAACAGAGCAAGATTAAAATTTTGGAATTATGTCCAATTAAATGCGAGATTTCAAGTTATTACAAAATTTGATAAGAGAGACATTTGTTAATATTTTTTTATAAAGGACCAAGGGTCATTAATTAATTTTACATTGAAAGAAAGTACAACTTAAAAATATCGTTATCAAATTTTGAAATATTAATGTCAAATATAATTATCATTGTAAATTCGAAATCATTAATCATCCTTAAACAATAACTACATAGATAAAAATGTGAATCTTATACAATTGGTTTTAAGTCAAAAAATTGATGCCCTTGTTTAAGTTTGTGAATTCAATCCTTGTTGATTGACTTATTTTCCATAACCAGATGTTAATTAAAAAATGTGAACTTTTTAAACATCATTTTGTGAGTGTTCGCTCCTTCCCACACTCTATTTTAAAAATATATATATATATATGAATGATCAATTCGTCAAACTAGAGAATATAAGTTCGAATTCATTAAGTAATAGCAGTAGGTAAAGCGATTGCAAGTTGCGCACCATTGTGCTCATCAATGCTGTGAGAGTTGACCCATCTAAAACTGATTTTAATGACTCATTTAAAATTTTTTAATCTGCAAATTTCGTATAAAAAATATTTTCTAACAAAGTGACAATTATAAGATTATCTTTATTTTAAATATTATATCTATTAAAATAATAAATTATTAAAATATAAAAAAATTATGTTAAATTTGGATTTTTAAATCTAGACAATTCAGATAAGATACTAATAAAGAGGGGGTAAATAGATAATAGAAATCTAGAACTCAATTGAAGTTCACAACCGAAACCCATGGACACAACAAAATCTACACCAAGAACTCCAACAACTACACAAGAAATTCATTTAGAACAACAACACAACAACAACGTACACAAAAGCTAATTTAGACTCGTCGCTAATAATCAATCATTTGGAAAGCTTAATTAGAAATTATATATATATATATATGTATGTATGTATATAAACTAATATATATTTACATCCTTGATTCTGGATGTGAAGAAACAGCCATTACACCTTCTTCCATGACCTTATCAGCAGAAGCAGTCTTATTCTTCTCAAACTCTTTGGCAGTGTCATAAGAAGCATGCAAACCAAACAAGACGTAGTAGACCAAAAGAAATGCCGTCCATACCCCAAACCTTATGAACGAGTCTCTGTCTATGGAGCCTAGCAGGAACACGTTTATGGCTATTGATAAAGATGGAAGCCATGGAACCAGTGGGACTCCCCAGTGCTTTGGCTGCTTCGCCTGCGGAACAAACAGCCACAGCCCCGCCGTGCCTGCCAGCCAGAACGGCGCCGCCACCACATACCCGACCCACCCATCGCTCTTTGCCCAGTACCCGGAAATCGCGCCGGAGGATGCTAGTATTAGCACTAGACACACTATGAGCTTCGCCTGAAAAAAGCAACAGGGTTTGTATATGTCAGACTTGGTGTCCATGTAATTTTCTTCTCGTGTGTGTACACACACACATAAGGGTGAGCAACGGTCGGTTCGGTCCCAAAATATACAGAACCGATCGATCGAATAACACTAAAAATGAAAACCGAATCGAACTAAATAAACCAATCAAACCGAACAAGGATCGAACCGAAATTTGATAATTAGGTTCGATTGGTTAATTCGGTTTTTTGTTTCATATTGGGCTATTGAAATTGGGCCCATTTTTTAAATATTAAAAAAATAACACTACAAAATTTGGCCTTTTTTCTATTTGTCTTTTTTAATATAAGCCCATTATAATTACACTCATATGACATAAAGCCTAAATATTATAAAGGCATGGATAATCAAATAAACTATTACAAATAAACACTGATGTTCAAATAATGGCCCTATAATCTAGTCACAACACCTACTGATGAGAGTG